TTCTTCAACAACAGAGCTCATCAGCAAATTCGTCGAGTGAAATATGTACCAAGTCATTAGCAAACTATAGAGTACAATGGCAAGCATTTATTGATCAGCAGTTTTATAATGCCATTAATGAGTAAACCTTGTGCCGCTTTGATCGACAAGAGAACCTTGATCCCTAAGGGCCCCCATCGATGTCGCGCATCTCGCAGGTACTCACAGACCACCAACGCCTCACTTTTGTTAGACTGGCTGAGACAGGAACATACCAGGCAAGGAGGGTGCCGTTTGCTTATAGCCTATCAAGAACACATTCAAGGCCAGGGCTCAATAAGAAACACAGGTCATGCCTTGGTTTTGCGGGGTTGACAGCTTTTTGATTCGATTAGATGAGCACGGTGACGAATCGGCGAGATCTTGCAGGCTGTCAACTCCAGGTTTGTTTCAGTTTGACATTGTGCAGTATTGACTTCAGCTCTCCCGTGATGATACCCGTACCCATTCTGCATAGAAATAATCCCTGATCAGAACGCATCAGTGCAGATGCCATGTGCAGATCTTCTACCACTCAGCCAACGCCAACACCATCATCCATCTCTATGCCACCTGCTCTATGTGTTCTCTTACTCATTGAATGTCCAACGTATGGCACTCTTTGGGCATGTAAGCTAGCGGATTTAGGCGACATGAGGGCTATCGGTTCCGAACAATAGCACCAATGGCCCTCAATGTTCGGCTTCGTCACGTCTATCAGCGGCATGAACAACACACAGTTTCCTGAGACCAACATCATCGGCTGCTCGTTTTGGTAACCCGAACCTGATTAACTCAAACCCTGTAATCTTCTCACTTTTGATTGTTTTCACAGGATCTCTGAGCCTGCCAATGGCTCGCATAATTGTTCTGCTGCACATTCATCACCTCCCTTCTTGTGGTTACCTCAGACCTGCAGAGCTAGAGACCAACTCCTCTTTTGACAATAGTCTTGATTCCTCTTAACAGGGTAGAAAAGCTTGCAACCAATGGGGCGTCATGGTGTCTCTCTCGAAGGAGCAACCGCCGGGGCTGAGAAAAAGAAATTTGGATCTTGAGATTGCATCTTGCATTACCAGCCTCTCCCAACACTTGGTCGGAGCTCTTCCTCAGCCGGCATAAACCGACATGGATGCCTCCTCAATGCTTCAACATTGAATCTCAGGTTTACCCGATCACTCCGCTGCCTGTGTGCAACCGCCGAACTACCGCTTTGACGAATGCTACTATTCTTTTGTTACCTGCTACTGCAAGCCACCACAGGCATCTGAACCGTTCATCCCTGGTCCGTTGGCACGCTGCAATAACACACCTGGTTCACAAAGGAGGACATAATCCCAGAGGAAGACAAAACCAGTATCAAGTACCCATGCGTTCAGCATATCATCAAAATCGATCACAATAATGGCAGTTGTTGAATGCTAAAGAATACAGTGACATCATAGTAAGAATCATAACTTTGAAAGTTCTATAGGGAGTTGGTCATAAAACATCTCAAATTGTGACCAAAATTTTCTTAACATGGTTGCTTCAGTGCCATTCGTCTAAGCGTGTCCCATGTGACAGGTCACCTCACCACTTGGCAGAAGTTATTCAAAGAAATAACACTCAGAGAGTCAGAAACGAAAGAGGTAGAGCTTGCCGAGAGACGCGCGGTGTATCGGCAAAGGCCGGTACCCAAGGTGACGTGAGATACGCACCAACCTGCAGCTCATCAAGGCCCAACGGCTCATCTCATAGGTATGGCTTTCTCTAGCTGGCAGTAACACGGACCTTTTTATGTTTGTAACTATGCCTGGATCTTTCGATAACTTCGAGACTTAAGTTTTCAGCATCAATAGGTCTGTCTTGTTGATACCTCTATTATGCTATCGTGTATCAATTTCGTTGTTTTATCTGTCATTGTTCATGTCAAACGCAGTCAAGACCCATGTTTAAGTAATCATAATTCTTATAAGTTCCAATAACCTAAGTACAACGCCTTGTGTGATCCGGTTCCATCTGAATGGACACCTATCTGTTTCCACACCTAGTGTATTACCGGTACGATAATTCTTTTCTTTTCCCCTTGACCCTCAGAATAATCCTTTGAAAATGTAAATTAAAAGCAATGCAACGCTAGTAGAAGACATGATGAGTAGAAAACCGATCCCATTTTGATATTCGTGCTGCATTCCAGTTTACAGGGCACCAATAACCTTGTCAAAGGCGTTGATGAGGATAGGAATGTGCTCCTCCTGGAAGATGAGCATAGGCCGGAGGCGGACAGTGTTCTTGCCGCAAGTACCAATGTTAACACCGATATGGCGCATGGAGCGAACGAGGCCAGCAGGGTCCTTGGTATCGAAGGCAATGAACGTGCCCTGGTCTTTTCCACGGAGGTTCTGGATATGCTCTGGGTATTTGGCAGCAAGACGAGCAAGCTCAGCATAAAGGTGAGTGCCCACGCGGGCCGTCTGCTCGACAAGCTTCTTGTCAAGGATCTCCTGGATGACAGCCTTGCACATGATGACACGGGCAGGGTCGCCAATCCAGGTGTTGAACTGACGGTAAGCCTTATCGGGGATAAGCATCTCGTTACCAAAGAAGTAACCAGCAGTCTGGGCCTTCTTGGAGAAGGTAACCATATCTGGGGGAGATGTCAGGTTCCAGTGATCATGTCCCCAGAAGGAACCGGTGGCACCGAAACCGGTCTGAACCTCATCGGCAATGAGAACGGATCCGTGCTTCTTGGTGATATCACGGAGACCCTGGAAGAAAGCAGGGGAGGCGTGGTTGTCACCACCCTCAGACTGAATGGGCTCAACAATGAGACCGGCAACGGGGCAATGCCATGTGGTCATGATGCGCTCAACTTCTTCAAGGCATCGCTTCTCCTCGGCAGCGTTCTCCTCGACGTGCTCCTCAAGGGGGTACTTAAGAGCAGGGAAGGGGGCCTGGGGCCAGTTGAAGCTAGGGATGTCGAGCTTGTGGACAGCCTTGGAGCGGGTGGTAGAGAGGGAGCCGAAACCACGGCCGTGGAAAGAGTTCTTGAAGCTCATGATGGCGAGCTCAGGGGAGCCAGGCTTGGAGTTCTCAAGGCAGGAGTTGATCTCCTCCTCGTTCCAGTCAGCATTGCCACGCTTGCGACGACTGTAGAGCATGAAAGCAGCCTTGTAGGCAAGCTCGTTGGCCTCAGATCCAGACTGAGCAGTAAAGATGTAGCTGAGGCCCTTGGGGGCGACCTTCATGAGGCCGTTACGGAGGATATCGACCCATTGGTCGGAGGGAAAGTTGCCAATCGCAGGACGGTTAACGAGAGCGGAGATCATCTCGGGGGACTTGGCAGCCTCGATCAGTGTGTCGTTGTTGTATCCAACGGGGATGGAAGCAATCTGGGCGTAGACATCGAGGTACTTGTTGCCATCAACATCGACGATGCTTCGAAGTGTTAGCTCCCATATCCTCTGTCACGTCTTTTGGGGAATAAGATCTTACTAGTTGTCATGGGACTTGTCGTAATCGACAACGAAGTGAACAGCACGGGCATCGAAAATGGCATCCAGACGCTTGGAGCTGGCCTTGGAGACAGGGCCAGGGATCTCCGTGCGGACGGGGGACTCAACGAAGGAAGGCATTGTGAAGCTGGCAAAGATCTCTGAATAAAGGGGAAATTTCCTCTGGGTATCCCGAGTTTGTGAGAGAGGAAAGTAAATCAAGATGTCCTGGAGAGATTGGAAGTGAAGTTGGAAGCTGGGGGAGGAGCTATTATAGCATTTGGCAACGGTATCGGAGGTGGCACTAATAGGTTACCAAACATGGTCAAAAAAGTTCATGGAGGGCCTCGATGTGCCCACCCCTGCCAATTGAAAAGTATTGCCTGCGGCTCATGGACACGATGCGCAGAGTTGGGGAGACATCGTGGGGCCGGAGTCGAGAGGCCGGCCGGCACAGAGCCGGAGAGGAGAGGAGAGGGATGTCTCACGGGACCTGACCTTGGGCGCCACCACTGCACCTTGAATTGGTAGCGGAGGTCATGGCGGACTTTTTCCCTCTTCCTTATTCAAGGCGGGAAGAATGCTGCTGTCTCGGGGTTGCTATTACTATCTATTACAGAGATCCTCTGTCTTGTGAATGAGAAACACTACGTCTTGTTCACAGGTAGGCTCAAAACTTCTATGCTGATAAGCTACTCGCGACGGCCACAAGAACGAAATCAAGAGAATTGTTACCCCAACATTTAGTAAAAGTCTTCCCCGGACATCAATTTCTCGGTGACGGGACCGGGGATACTACACTTTTTCCTTTACAAAAAAATGTCTAGGTACTTGCCACCTGTGCGTTTAATGATCAAAGCGCCTGAAACTTCCCATTCTTTACTGGTGCCTCTGGGGTTTAGTTCATCGGCTCTTGTGGTCCCCACACCGGTTCTCAGAGCTCTCTCGGTTCCGAAGGGGAAAGCCCAGAGTTACACCCAAGAGTATCCCGTGACGATAGTTCCCCATAAAATTTGAAGCTAAATTGCTTCACAGGGCGAATCGAAGCCCCAGAACCTCTGATGGAAGAGCTGCCTCCCCCACTCGCTCCCTTCTCCAACTCAGACGTCTGCCAAAATTTGAAAACCACACACCCATCTCGGAATCGGGCCTAACGACACCCCTGGTCTTTCCATTTTGCTTCAATCTTTTCCATCATAAACGCCCCTCACCTCATCATACACACCCTGCCGGCCCGGTTCCCAATCGGTGCCGTGTTCCAACAAACTGGTCGCGAGGCCGGATCACCAAGCATCAACGGTTCACAGAAACAGATCCCATCGTCATTGTATTGTTGTGATTCAACGAGGGCTGTGCTAAGAGACCGGTTACTGCCGTGTTATGGGACAAATGTGTTAATGTTTGGTAGCCAATGTACAAGATAGGTAGCGTCCGGAAGCCATGCGGAGGTCCGAGACGATTGTCAGCAAGAATACTTACTAGGTAAAGAAGGGAACTCATAGATATGAATTGGTTCTCATCTCCTCTACTATAAACTTCTCTCTGCCACCCCAAGTCTCAGCCGTGTTTGACATACGCCTTCTCCATTGAACAACGTAGTTCATCAGCAAGCATCATGACAGCTCCAAAGGTGTGTCATATTCCCGCTCGTTAACATTTCTCGTTTCCGCAACTTCTCTTCGTCGCAGCGACTATCGAAGTTACCAACACTAACATATTGCTTCGCTGCAGCTTACCGACCCTACCCTCGTCAAAAATGCATGTTACGTCAATGGCGAATGGGTAGCTGCAAAGTCTGGGAAGGACTTTGCTGTGGAAAGTAAGCGCTCCTGCCAACCCCTGTGTGCTTGAAATCCGAGATCATGTCCTAACGTTACTTTTATGCAGACCCGTCAACCCTTGAAAAGATTGGGAACTGTCCCGAGTTTGACGCCGACGACACCGAAGCTGCTATCGCTGCCGCCGATGCCGCATACAAGACATACCGCAAAACACCGGCTCGCCAGCGGGCCCGGTACCTCCGCCGCTGGTATGACCTCATGATGGAGAATTCGGAGGACATTGCACGGCTCATAACCCTTGAGAACGGCAAGCCTCTGGCAGATGGCAGGACAGAGGCCAACTATGCCGCTGCTTTCTTTGAATGGTTCTCGGAGGAGGCCCCTAGAATTTATGGTGAGACTATTGAGGCAACAAACCCATCATGTCGTCTATCCACCATCAAGCAGCCCGTAGGTGTCTGCGGTCTCATTGCGCCGTGGAACTTTCCCGCTGCTATGATCACCCGAAAGGCTGGGCCTGCGCTCGCTGCTGGCTGTACCGTTGTCATCAAAGCTCCCGCTGAGGCTCCTCTCACAGCTCTTGCTCTGGCTGAGCTGGCGCATCGTGCTGGAATTCCTGCCGGCGTTGTCAACGTTATTACAGCCTTGGATAACACTGCTGAAGTTGGCAAGGTCTTGACTACACACCCCAAGATCAAGAAGGTCTCTTTTACTGGGTCAACTGGCGTGGGGAGACTCCTCATGAGCCAATCATCATCAACCATCAAGAAATTGTCCTTTGAATTGGGTGGGAACGCTCCTTTCATCGTTTTCGAAGATGCGGACCTGGACAAGGCTGTTAAGGGTGTGATTGCCTGCAAATTCCGTAATTCGGGTCAAACATGCGTCTGCGCCAACCGAATTCTGGTGCACCGCAGTATCTATGACAAGTTTGTCCAAATGGTCCTCGATGTTGTCAAGACCTTTGTTGTCGGTGATGGCTTTGTTGAGAAGACAACCCATGGTCCTCTTATCCATGGTCGTGCCGTAGCCAAGGCTGCTGAGCATGTTGAAGATGCTCTTTCCAAGGGAGCCAAGCTCATCCACGGCGGCGAGCGTTTACCACACCTCGGTCCTAATTACTTTGACCTCACAATGTTAACTGGTATGAAGCCTGGTATGAAGATCTGTAGCGAAGAGACTTTCGGGCCTGTGGCTGCTTTCTTCGCATTCGATACCGAGGAGGAAGCTATCGAGCTTGCGAACGACAGTGATGTTGGCCTCGGAGGCTATTTCTTCAGCAATAGTGTGAACCGATGTTATCGCGTGGCAGAAGCGTTGGAGGTCGGCATGGTCGGAGTCAACACTGGTAAGTTTGCCCGGTCATGAAGAACATCACGAATCATTAACATCAGAATCCCAGGCGTGCTGAGCGACCCTGCCGCTCCTTTCGGTGGCATTAAGCAGAGTGGATTTGGAAGAGAAGGAAGCAAGTATGGCATTGACGAGTTTACAATCACTAAGATGGTCATGACAAATATCGATCCATGAGTAATGGTTTAGTTTAGACAAAAGTTAGGGCGGCTATAGGCGAAATAATACCCACAGGACGGTTATAGAGACGGAGTGCGACAGCTTTCGGGTGAACGAAATTGCTATACTGATAGACCTGCAGGTCGACTCTTCTTGACCAAATTGGGGATGTATCGGTGCAACATCAGGTCCCTATGGGTACGGTTGAGCTGGATCGTTAGGATACCATAACGCGCTACCGTTTGTATTGAAAACGTGGGGAGACCAGATGCATGAAAACAGAATCGTTCCAAGTGCGATGTATGCGGCGGGTGACTCTATGAGGGTTTCGATTTCGTGTCAACACATGGAGGATATGCTGTTTTGTAGATACTGTCAGTAAGCATGAGGTTGCCGCATAATGCAATTCACTAAAAGACCTGAAGAGTTTCACTATCAAGTCGTCCATTAATTTTCATGGTCTATGATTTCAAAGAAACTCCTCGGTGGTGAATACTGGGTTCGTGAAGCTATCGCCACAACCAAAAAGCCGCCTCAGCTCCCGGCCCGTGGTGTTCTCAATTAATTCCTAGCGGGGCCCGCTCCGCTGCAAAGACAGGGTCTATGTGAGATCTTGGATCGGGCTGTTCGCGTTCGGCATTTGAACGGGACAAGATGCAATGGCCGGAAATGTTTATTCCAGAAGTCCCCGGTCCGGTCCGGCCATATCTCGTCTTCTTTAAAGACAGGAAGAGGAGCAGATAAGGATCAATTGGCAGAATGTGGGGAAGCGGGCGGTGATGTCAAAGACATATCGACCGGGAACAAATGCCGGCCCCACATGTGTCTACTCCAACGGTTCACATCTCACATCGACTTAACTTTGTAGGATGACGGGAATTTGAAAAGATTCTCTTATTATATCCATCACTGTGATTCTCAGTATTTCCATCCATCATGGAATAATATCCACATGGACTCCATTGAGAGTTCTAGAGCCCATCATGCCCACTGCATAGTTCTCATTAGGACCAAGTATCTGTCATTTTAATGAGAGATAACATCACTGCCAGCATTACTTGTTACCCTAAGCTATATTGCATCATGTGGTTAATGTATAAAGGTTGGGTAGTATCGTTTGTATGGAAAATCATGTCCGGTAAGACATTGCAGACGAGATGCGTGGCAGCTAAACTCGGTATGCAGTTCCCATGCCAAGAAGGGAAACAATGATGGTCCAAACGAACCACATTACCTACTTCGCAGCTTTTAGGATCCGGCACCAGTGACAAATTCCAAAGGCCGCCAATCAGTTGGTCGAATCTCAAGTTACCACAACCCTCTTCAATCTGGCCACCGGAACCGAGATCTCGGCTCCAAGAACCGGTGATCGAAATATGCAGAATTCCTACCCAGAACTGCCTAGCTCCTCCGATTCACCAGAGATCCCGGGTCCACGGAGTACTGTACCTTCTCAGCATGTCTTCATCATAAAACTAGATAATGTTTTCAGGGACGCCATATCATTCACCGCTGATGATGACTGACTATATCTCAGGCTTCAACTAGATTTACAAACATTACTAAAGGGTATGTTTGAGGTAGGTAATAGTTGTCATTCATAGATCACTACCGTTCTGCAGGGCTAGGTTGTTCTCGTTGCCAGTTCTTGTATTAACATATTTGACCTTGTTGCTTCGTTGTCATATTTATCGTAGTATAAAGGATTTGGATACATCTCTTGTAGCCTATGTTACTCAAGTTGCTACCCGGATCGGTAGGTTCTCATCAAGCTAACACGTTGGTATGGAATGCTGTTAAAGAGGCACGCCACTTTCTTGATACAATTATCTGATTTTGATAGGCAGTTAACAAAAGTCAGAAGCACAAAATATAAACATCAAAAACAAAGATATAGGGGGAAACTCTACAAGCTGCTAATGTTAATCCTGGTATAGAACTCGCTGCAACCATTCCCAAGTCTTACGTAGGGATGGCTATGCAATTCTGTAGGTTTCAAGATACAGACTGGTCGGTCAAGGCCGTTTGGACCAACTTACACTGATTCCTAGGTTTTAGAGGCACATAAAGAAGAAACCTGGTCTGTTTTGCCATTCTCTGTCCGGCGACATGTTCACGGCCATGATCTGCCATTAGTGAAGGCGTCTGGATAAGGGATGTATTGAGATTCTACTGATAAAATAGGGTTCCCAGTATCATTCGTATGCCCTCATCCCAAGTCTGTCGACTAATGGCATCCTTACTTAGACTCGTCCTTGGCCAGCAGGTTTTCCACTCTCTTGACCTTGTCCTCCGCCGTCTGTTTCTTGTCCGTTCTATGAGAAACCCATGCTTAGCATGTCACCGTCCAAGACACCATGGAAATAATGCACATGAAGGTAGGCTGAACTTACCGGCTACCAACCCTCATCGACGACTGAATCCTGACTACACCACGGCGGTGCACAACAGCATGCGCCTTTCCTACAGCCGCCATAACCTCATTCCACGATCCCTCTAAAGTCATGATGTTAGATTTATGCACTTTGAATTGACAAGTCTACTGCAGCAAGTAGAGCATAACGTTGGTGCATGACAGAAATAACGCACCAACGGTGGTACCAGCAGAGTGAAGAGTGTACTTCAATCCACTCGCCTTGAGGACCTTTTGCACCTCAGCAATATCCTCTGCTACGGATACAGTTCCTGTTCCGATCTTTTCGTTGTCAGTATTAGCATATCTGCATTCCTACCTCCATAGCGCTTTGAGGGACATAGATAACCAAGACTCACGGGAAGAAGGCAAAAGTCGACATAGCACGACTCTGGCGTAGCAATACTGTCGTAATTCATAGTAAAAATCCCAGGTTCCTGTTTGAGTGATATGAAATATGATTGGGAGTGAAGGTGGAAATAAGAGGAATCTATTGAAGATATTCTAGGGTTATGGGTCTTGAAGTTGGGTCTAAGATCACTGCCAATTGGCTGACATGACGTCGCAATCATTAACGACTTCATGATGCCCGAATTGCTGATAATGTTGCTGACGATGGGTACACCTGTGTATTATTTACGAAATACGTATCATCGTTCACAAAGTAATTTTCAGTCAATATGGCATCTCTATACATTTCTATTTTAAGAGTCCATCACCAGGGTAAATGTATATCATCCGTCTAACGGGCCAATCTTATGTTAATATATCGCCCGATCCCTGCGTCCTATGTTGTAATTCAATTTATGACGATGCAAGCTTGCTATCCCAAACGCCTCGCTGCATGCCCATGTGACCGAACCGGATTAAACGGCAGGTCTTGTCAAACCTGTGTAAATAATGTCGGGTATAGAAGAGTGAAGACAAAGAAATTGTGCTTGAATGCTGAAATGCACTCAAATCTGGAGGAGTTTTTTATACCAACAGCACTGCGGCAGCGACGAAGGCAGTCAGGGCGACCATGCCGACTTGTCTGTCAGTGGTGCTGCCCATCGACTCATCTGAGACCTCCTCACGTCCAGTGGCGTCAGAGATGCCGTTCATCTTGTCTGTCGCAGCGAGAACCTGACCCTTCTCGAAGAAGTCAACCAGCACAAAGTTGGGTACAGCACCCCACTCCTGTCGGCATTCCTGAAGATGCTTACCCAACTGACCATCCTCGCTGGTACCATCACTGTTGACAGTATCGATGTTCTCAGTGTCAGGGACGAACAAGTCACTGTTGTCTGAAAGACTCTGATACTTGAAATGGTTGACGAGACCCATGTAGTTACTGGCCATGGCTGTAGCACCATCCTTAATCTTAGAAGGGCGGTTGACAGTGCAGTTGAAGCCGGTGAGAGAAGGAACCTCAAACGCTGTCTCAAAGACATAGTCGAACTCTGGCATCAGGTAGGGATACTGGGTCGAAGCATCAATGTTGGTGACGAACGTAACGAGGCGTGTGCTGTTATCGATCATGGACTTGAGAGTAGGCCACTCGCTGGTCGGTTCCTGGCTAGCGGGTGCGTAAGCCAGTTCAGCAATGCCGGAACCGTTAATGGCTTGCCCAAACTCATCAGGTTTGGCATCATCGGAGTTGACAAGCAAGAGAGTGACAACCTCATTCTTGTTCGCCTTCATCCACACGTTGATTTTAGTCAACCAGTCCTCGAGTGGGCCAGCATCGAGAATGTCACACGAAGTGTGACAAAGACGGAGGGTGTTGTTTTCTTTGTGTACTTGGGCCTGAAGTAGACGAAGACCAGCGTCGAGGGCATCTGTGGCATTAAAGTTCTGGTTACCTGCGACGGCGAGTCCATTGTTGCCATCGCGTAGAAAAGAGCTTCCATGAGCGCCCATGTGTGTGATGTTGTTATAGCTGCGGTTGCAGAGGTCCGGAGAGTTGTTGCATGCTGTTGAGGAACCAGAGCCTGATCCGGAATTGGATTGTGGGAGAGCGTAAACGGTGGAAGTGGCAGTGAGAACTCCGGCCACGACGGAGAGAAGTGAGGACTGAAGCATTTCGATGAGTTTCTGATATGTGCCCAGCTTATCGGGAATCTATGTGTTAAAGGAGGCAGAAGGGGAAAATGACGATGTAGAAGATAGATAGAAGACAAGAAACAAATCTAAAGAAGGACAGATCAGGTTAATAAACTATGAAACAAAGAAAACAATATTTGCCATGGAATATGTCATGGGGTAGGTAGGCTGTAGGTCCCCCGTAGGCATAGGGGATGAGATGGTTGTTGTCCGTGCTTGCAAGCTGACGTCGCCCCGGTCCAATTTTCTCTTTTTTTTGTTCGAGGTTGGGGGCTCATTTAGTTGGCGGCGGCTCACTGAAAGCCATAAGAGCGAACCAAAAGAGACCCTGGATATCCACTGAATACCCACTGCCCGGAACGCTGGAGTGATCGTCAAACGACCGAAAAGCCAAGGCATTAAAAGTTGGGGCTGAGGTCGGGTCTGGTCTCGAGTGGTCGATACTGCGCCCCTTGAGACGTCAGCAGTGGATATGCACTATTGGTGTTGTGTTACGCTTCAAACGCCGACGAGACAAATTAAGAATACCGTTTTTGCTGTAGGATCGTAAACAGAGTTTTGCTTGACATCTGTTTGAGATACAGTTTGAGATTGATACATGTCGAGCAAATCCTATATTTTCTAAAGCATAAACAAGAAGGCATTTACTGTAAATCGATGTAACTTGATGCTTGATACACGTCATGCCTGGCTGGCCAGCATTACCATACCCTGCAGATCAACAAGATCTTTCTATCTATCCAAAGCTCCAACCACCACGGTTTACGATGCTAGCAGCGATATACATCATACGTGTAGATGACCTGATGGCTTATTCCAAGATGCCAAGCAAATATAACCGTATCTAAAAATGCGGGAGGCGAGACGTTGTCTCGGCTGAAGCCATTTGCCCTCCACATTCCGGACATTTGAAAACGCCTCGCCGCCCAGCGAGATTGGGTCTCGTTTGTCTAACGCGTAGTACTCAAATCTCGCTCGTATCTAATGTTAACCCCTTATGGCTCAATAAATTTGATTCCTCAAGTACGCTCATAAGATTTTGACATCTTTCAGCTACAAAATCACATCCAACCTCAGTTTCTTATGCATACGACGATAACCAGCCATTCTATGTGAAGGAGATGGTTGGTGGCGGCCGGGAGGCTGAGCACAGAACGTTTTTGAGGGGCACAATCTATTTTTATCTGTTTCATGCCACTAGCTTCCGTGAGCGGCGACCTACATCGACCTGGCGGCTCAAAATGTTGACCAAGCATGGCGAACATCACTTTTTGTCGTACCAAACACGACGATTGGTTTATAAGTAGGTATACGTTTGCGGCGATTAATCGCGTTTCTTTACTTAGCTAATATAAACTTCAGAAACCCCTCGATGCAGGCTCGGTAACATTTTTCTAACCCATGACCATTGAACTATGCAGGCCTCATTCCAAGACTTCATATATCCATCACCGAGTAAGTCCTTATCTTTGCGTATTAGCTTACTCAGGATCTCCGTATTCTTCTTTCTTGTCCACAGAAGCCGCGGCTTCAATCTCTTTTAGCTGCTTTTTCCCCTCCTCTGTTGTAGCGTCAATGATTTCTTCCTCCAAGCTCAAAATGTTGGCCTGTCAAGCGATTCGTTAGCCCGTAAGTTCTAACCTTGTCGGCAATCGTTGGCAACTTACCTCGCCAAAGAGACCCACGAGCTCCTCAGCCTCGTCAATCTTCATTTCACCCAGCGCCTTGTTCACTTCGTCCAAGTTGCCCGTCTCCAGGGCCTTGCGCATCTCGGGTCTGAAACTTTCGAAGATCTTGCGCGCTTCCTGCTCTTCGGGGTCCTCGCTGTCTGCCGCAGGAACCTTGATGTTGATGACCGTACCAGGCTCCACGGCATGCAGCTGAATTTGCTCGATGCCTTCAGTTTGCCCTTCTTTGGCTCGCTCGGCTAAAATCTCCCTGGAACGGGTTCGAATCTTCATATATGTGTCTTGCACATCCTTATAGAATACATCCTGTGCTTGATGGCCCTTGGTTGTGATACGTTTGAAGAAAAGCCCGACACCGTCCTTGCCAAGAGCTCTACAGTATTGTAGAAGTAGAGCCTGGTGCACTAATTGTCGCGATAACTCATCCTTGTTCTCCAGAGCGGCATCGAAAGCCTGAACCAGAAGGCCATCTGTCTCCCTCTCAACCAACAGCTGAGGATTCTGCGACAGGAATTGGAGACTAGCCGCATAGTCGTTTGCCCTAATGGTGCCAAACTTCTTTCCGGCCGGTGAAGATTCGATATCGCTGTCATCGTCCACCTTGACTTCTTGGTTTCCGGATGTCGAGCTTGAGGAGGTTTCCGCGAAACTAGGGTTCAGAAGCTCTACCTGTGTAGAGTCCTTCTTCTCCTCGGGCTTCGACTTGGCGACATGCGAGCTATCAAAGCCTGTGTGGATGCCCTCACTTGTGATCTTTCGGCCTTCCTCCTTCTGCAACTCCTCCAACTTAGCTACCAGCTGTTCCTGCAAGTTCATTATTTTATCCTCGTGTGACTGAATCTCAGCAATCATAGCTTCGTATCTGTTTTCCGGTTTCTTCTCATCCAAAGCCTTATTGACTTGGTCTAGGAGTGTTGCCATCATCTTAGTGTATGACGGTTGTTCCTTTTCCTGGGTATGAACACCCTCGGGTGGTGAAGGTGGCTTGTCATCTTTGGGATCTCCAGCTGATTCCATGACGGCTTGAAAGGCAACTTCTGCCGGATTTCTGGTGGCTGCCTCGGAGGCATGGGCTCGCAGCGATGCCAGAAGCCCGGAAATTCGCTTCAGCAAACCATCGTTGACCACACGCTCATACTTGTAGGTCTCGATTTGTAACTTTCGGTGCTGTCTCTCCTGGTGGATCTGATTCTGCTTCGCGCGGATAAACGATCGCTTGTCGACATTAGGATGCACTTCGATGTCGGAGTCGTCACTGAGTTCCAGTGCGTCCTAGAAGACCGTCAGGGACAGGATTGAGTAAACAGGTTCTATAACTTACCCATTTGCTATAATCAACAGGCATTTTTGTAGACTTTAATGCGTATCAGGCACCGCTATAGAAGTGGTGTTGTGAGATGAGTTCAGTAAGGAGTGTTGAATTAAGGCCTCAGGAATGGAAGTTTCTGGACCTTGCTTCAGAGCTCTACCATGATAGCGGGGTGATTATAAGCAACCCCACTAGTGCAGATTGTGGCAGAGCGTGGCTGCTGTGTTTACTAGCCACAATACCTCATGAGAGCTGGACGAAGCTACTAAGCACTGAGTTGACCACGCCGAACAAAGAATGGTAACATGGATAGTAAGTATTATATGAATTCTGGTAATGCCGCACCACTCAAATCAGATATCTCATAGTATCATTCGCAATTATTCCACAAGCAAAAGTACGCCTTCGCTAAATGAACGATCTAGGCTATTGTACACATCAAGATTAACGGCGTTGAATACCATATTCTAGTAGGGCCACCGTCTCGTCCAAAACTCATCAATCAAATGCTTCACCATGTTTTCAGCAAGCCTGGGGAGTCGACCTATCGCCTACGACATTGTCTTCATGAAGTCATCCAGGTCGAAACTCTCCTCATACTGCTTGTTATCCCAAAGATCTCCCAAATCATCCAGCCATGCCTTCTTGCCTGGTACACGCACATCACCTGTCTCGATATCGACCATATCCTCTTCTCTTCCTTCGATATTGTTCTTCTCCTTGTCGGCTAAGAGGTTTGGTGCGGCGTCTCCAACATTGAATAGATCAAGGATCTGATCTGTGTCCATTGTTGAGAGGCCAGCGTTCTGTTGATTTACGACTGTTGATGCGACATCAATCTTGAAACGTTGGAGGTTCAAAATTTTCTCCTCAAGAGTCCCACGTGTGATAAGGCGGTACACATTCACCACCTTCTTTTGACCGATACGATGGGCTCGATCCATGGCCTGGAGATCCTTCTGGGGGTTCCAATCGTGCTCCACGAAGATGACAGTATCGGCTCCTGTCAAATTCAGCCCAAGACCTCCCACGCTCGTTGTTAACAAAAGCACGTCATACGACGGGTCACTGTTAAACTTATTGACGATATCTTGTCTCTTGTTGGCTTCAACCGAGCCGTCAAGTCGGAGGTGAGAAACTGAGGGCAACAACTCCTTCAATACCTTATTTTGCACCATATCAAGCATCTCCTTCATTTGACAGAATATGAGCGCACGGTGAGGCTTAATAGGTTGGTAAAGAGGGTCATTCGAATCATTGCCTTCAACACCAATACCGCAATCTACCAGTAGATCTCTCAGAGCGGTCAGCTTAGGTGCGTGCTGCGCATCCTCAATAGAGGTTCCTTGCTTGGCAAGAATCTTCTGCGTCTCATCGTAAAGAGTGCTGCCTGGTTTCATTACCATGGCAGGTGAGTTGCACAACTTTCGCATGTACTGTAGCGCTTGGAAAATGTGTTGTTTGGCTTCTTTATCTTCACGGCCCGCCTCGGCCTGAATCTTCTTGCCCTGTTTCTTTGTGAAGTCCTCGAATAGTTTTTGCTGCAGGTCGCTCAGGTCGCAATAGTAATTCTGCAAGATCTTTGGCGGAAGGTCATTCAAGACCTCTTCTTTGAGGCGTCGCAACAGGAACGGAAGCACCTGTTTGTGAAGTGCTTCAATCGCCAAGGCACCCGCTTCCTGTTCCTTTGATGATGCCTTGCTAAATCGACTTGCAGCGATAGGTTTCGCAAAGCGATCCAGAAAGACTTTTTCAGCACCGAGGAATCCAGGCATCAAAAAATCGAACAGAGACCAAAGCTCTAAGACATTGTTTTGAATGGGGGTGCCGGTAAGGATAAGGCGATGATTGCTCGCCAGCCTCTTGACTGCCTGTGTGATCTTGGCCTTAGGGTTCTTGATCAGATGGCCTTCGTCGAGCACAACGTAGTTCCAACTATGCTTGTCGAGAACTTCTGCATCATTGCGGCAGACATCGTAAGATGTAACTACAATGTCAGTCTCGCCAAGTCTGTCTTTCATAGCCTTTCTCTCCGCTGGCGGTCCAACATAGGCAGTCACGCTCAAGAATGGCGCATATGTCTTGATTTCTTGTTGCCAGTGACCTGAAAGTGTCGGTGGGCAGACAATTAGTGACGGCAGCTTGCGGACATCCGGTGCCTGTGTCTTGGCAAACTCTTCCGCACGCTGATGGTGATCGCTTGCTACGATACAGAGGGTCTGCAGGGTCTTGCCTAGACCCATGTCGTCGCAAAGAATACCATGAAGGTGGTATTTATTGAGGAAATTGAGCCAGTTGACGCCTTCTTGTTGATACGACCGTAGCTCAGCTTTGATGGCTACGGGAATCTGGAACTGCTCTACCTTCTTTGGATCCAGCAGTTGGGCAATGAAGGTTCTCTCACGGTCTCGTCCCTTCAGCAATTCTTCGGATAATCCGGGCGGGTCTGGAATTCCGGCTTCGAGAGGAACAAGTTTGACCAAAGTGGCAAAGGATGTTGTTGCAATGAGGCGAATTTCGTTGTCAGAATCGCTCATTCGTCCTAAAACTGGCACAATCAAAAAGATGACATATGGCAAAATAGCATCCCCCATGACAGCAATCAGATGGTAGATAGCTTCGATTGCCCCTTGTCGGAAATTGAGGTCAACGGGATTGTTGATCGACGGGAGAACCTTCTCAACAAGTGCAGTCATACCTTCCACAGTCATGACGCTACAAATTGTGGCCATACACTTAGCAGCCATGTATCGGAAGACTGAAAGTTCTGAGTGTAAAGCTTTTATGACAAGAGGCATCATTTGTATGATAAAAGGTTGCAGGGCCTTGTCCAGAGTTGGAGTCATGGTGCGAATGACAGACATGGCGTCGACAATTTCTTGCCCAAACGTCTGTTCGGGGTCCTTAGCCTCTCCGGGCAGAGTGTCAAGCGAGAAAGCTCGAACAAGAGGATCTTCCATGAATGTGCGGAGGCTGGGGACAGTTTCGAGTAGGCTGGCACCGTAAGTTCTAGAGAGAATTTCAAGGGCTTCCTTTGCACCTCGTCTGGTAATGCGGGCCGCTTTAGCTTCGCGGGCCCATTTAGCAGCATCTGGGTGATCGACACGATCCTCTTCCTTCTGCATGGACAGGACACAATCAGTCTTACTGGCATGAACTGGAAATTCGGGAGTCTCTGCAACTTCGACACAAGAGAACTTGACGAGGTTGGATACCACTTTATCGGCTGGTCCCTTTCGACCCTTTTCAGTGAAAAGCTGCACGAGTCTTGCAATTGTGTCAGCAGACCGAATTTGAAGTTGCTGGTTCTCTTCCGTTTTGACAGAGTCCATGATGCCCTTGATCAACGGGCTGGGTTTTTTTGGAAGCACTTTCATGCCAACCATTGCACATGCTGCTGCTGCCTTGACACGAACATCACGAGCTGCCTTGACAGTCTTGGCTTCTTCAATGGCCAAGATAGTCATATCACGAGCGTCGGACAGCTGTTGGCTCGCAATCAGACGTTGACCAGGAGGCATGGCCTTCTTCAATTTCTCGTAGTCATCGCCGATACATTTCTCTGCGGTGGTAATGGAAAAGGCACTCGGACCAGCTTCTGCTTCTCCTTGGACCACGACAGGCAGTGTCGGAAGTTTGCTGTGCGAAACCTTGCCATGGTCTCTGAAGAGGTGAATGAGCTGCTGGCATTGTGTCCTAACTCGCTGGATGAAGTTGACAAGATCCCTGTATGCCGCTGGTCGTTCTGAATCAATAATACGTTGTAAATTCTCGAGATAACGAGGAGAATCGCCCAAGTGTTGGCTGTTCATGGCAAATTCGTCGATGATCACGCATGCTGTCATCTGGCTGGATGAAAATGCTGACCCTAGGCCAGGAATTAACAATGCATCATAATCGTCCAGGCTGGCGGCGGGGACTCGAGACATGATGAAACCCATTGCCTTGGCAGCTGAAACACGAGAACGGATCAGCACATCCATGCCAACGAGATCCACGTCGCCTTGCATCATGTGGCCATCAACATCATGAGTAAGGCTGGCTGTCGGAGTATCATCGACCTTTGTGGATTTTCGGCGACGTTTGGGAGCACGATCAGACCCATCGGGAGACGACGGCTTCCGCGGTGTATGCTGAGTAACTCCAGGCATAGTATACGTGCCACCTGATGGCTTTTGGAAGAGCGAGGCATTCATTGGGATTGGGTTTCTCGAAACACCAATAGGGTGTAGAGTCAGTTGCATCATAGGATCGATATGAGCAGTGAATTCGTCTGCGAGAACAGCAGGTTTGCTGGCTAGGCTCTCAACCAAAGACGTCCACAAGTCTAAAGACATGTTGAGAGCGTCTCTGTCTCTTTCAACAAGAATATTTTGAAAGATCAATCGGAGAATTCTGCCGTTGAGCCAGCCCTGAGAGGTCTCTGCATCAAGTTTTGCGAAAGTCGACAATGCCTTCAACACAGCCACCCGCACCGACGTGATGGTATGACGTAAAAAGGGGTAGAGTCTAGGAACGAGCAGAGTAAAGGAACGTTCCTCATCTTGAGCGGCCGATGCCTTCATTGCTTCGAGTACCTCCGGGAAACCACAAAGAGTCGCGAGTAGATCCATAATCCGCCCAGTACTGGCGCTCAGGTCATCACCAAGATTCGAAAGGCTTTCCCAGATTATGTTGACAAGTCCCTCGAGTTGTGTGGGTCGCAGAGTGACAAACTCCTTCGCCATGGGAATGAGCGTAGCGGCACTGACAGAACGGACATCATCATCCATATCACCCAGGCCTTTCATCACAGTCTTTATTATGCCATCAATCATGTCGCTGTCCTGAAGAAGGAGGTCTTTTCTGACCGCAACGACGTATCTCAGGCCAATCATCCCGCCATGGCACACAGACCAAACTGGCCTATCAAGCTTGAGATCTTCTTGCATAACCATTCTGTAGAGAATTTTGAAGGTGCTGTAAACAGATGATGACGGTAGGTGTTTCAGAACGGATCCGAGAGACTGTCCAATTGTTTCCCGAATAGGTGCCACGGAGGTATCGGAGCTGTAGTCAGTGAATCGATCAAGCATTAGTACACAGCACAGCCGGCAGGCCATATCATCAAGCCATTTCTGATTGAGTACATCATTCTCCTTCTTTGTCTTGTTGCGTAGTTTCCCTGCACCTCCACCATGCACTCGGATAACTTCGCGAAGGCCCATGGCAGC